CCCACTTACAAAGAATGCAACGATCTATAACTTTAATCATATGTACATTCTAACAGTGAAAGACAGAATCCCAAAGAAAATTCCAGAAAATCACATCATATGAATTTATAAAAATCGATAACCATCTGATGAGGAAAAATAAGCATTCTTTGTAAGTGGGCAAACCTGCAAAATCAGCAAGGGCTCAAATACTTATTTCCCCCCCACTGTAGCTACACAGATAAATGTCACAGTGTATTTAAGTTGTTTTCCCAAATTCTTTGCAGCAGAGATTTACATTCAGAGCAACTCTGAAGCGATATTTGAGGAGGGGTGGATTTCTGTTGGGACTCTTTGCTCTATTTGATCTGATCTGGCCTTGGTGGCATTCTGATCTCGCTGCAAATTAACCTCAGAGTAGCACTTTTGATCCTCTCGATATTTGGCGTGGGGGATCTTGGAGCTGGGGGGGAATGCGGCACATTGACATTCCTCCCTCTATCTGGTAATGAAATTGCTTAGCGCTATTGCATCCTTTCAAGCATCACACTGTGCTCGCTCATATGGATTTAATCCTGTTGAGAGAGGCTGTAGCTGAGGGCACTCGGCACAATGCCAGCTCAAAATCATCCATCCACTTCTAAATAAGTCGCCTGCTCTCATATATCGATGTCTGAATCAACACGTTGGACAATTATGATCTAATATCTTGTGCATTTTATAGTTTGACACACTGATTATCCTTTACATATGTATGATATTCATTCTTTTCTTTCGTCTATTTTGTTTAAATCCAGTGTTTGTAATCATATCCTCTATTCAAAGAGTTGAAAATGTCCAAAATAGACATGTTAGGTAACAGTAACTAGCAACTATGCTATAATCTGGCTCATTTACAATCTGTACTGAAGTGTAAGATTGTTCATTAATGAGCACTTTCCTGATTAAATAAATAAATAAACGTTAAGAAACAGCTGAAATGGACAATAAATCCTTTTGTATATTAGAATATAATCTCAAAAGCCAAAAGAGTCTAGAATCTAATTGTTTCGTACATTTGAATGAGATTGAAAAATGGTAATGGTATTAGAAAATCCACATTTAAAAGATGATATTGCTCTGCTCAATTAAGCTAAAAGCTCGGAGATGGGATGGAGGATATGACATTACCACGGTGAGGATTATAGGTCTTGCTGTTGACACAGCAGATAACTTAATGGCTTTTATGTGACTGGAGGATTAGACCATCTAGATTTGATGACCATCAAATGTCCACTATTCCTCTAATGTTCAAGTGTCACTTGTAAAGGCAAATTGCCTTGATTTATCTCGGGGAGTACCTTTTTTTCTCAGGCCTCTGAGCCCACCAAAAGTTTGGGAGTGGTTATGGAGCCATTTCTGTATCCATTAAAACTTCTGACAAGCCACTGATTATAAATGAAGGCTCCAGAGACCAGTTTAAACCGGAACGCTCATCATTTTTATTCCAAATGATACTCTTATTCACATTAAATATACAGCCTCCTCTGTGACGCTGAGAGTGATGCTGATAAATGTACCGATTTAACTCGTGTGGTAGCTCCTGTATAGCGAGAGCTGAGTGTGAATATATGTGGAAGTTTAGACTTAACAAGTACAGATTCCAATTAACTCTGTTTTCGATGGGGTATGTGTGAACTATTAATTAATAAATCATCTTTCTGAGTACATATCTGTCAATCTTGCAGCTGTCAGATCTGAAAGTATCAGAAATGGAATTGGATTTACAAACTCTGTTAACTATTAATTCATAAATTATCTTTCTAGGTAATTATCAGTCAATCTTGCAGCTATCAATCAATCAATCAATCAATCAATCAATCAATCAATCAATCAATCAATCAATCAATCAATCACTTTATTTTGGTAAATTGTCCACATTAAACACAAGAAACAACAAAAGAAAAAAGAAAAAAACAATAGACAAACCCACAGTTTACCAAAAAAGGAATAGGCCGAAGCAAAGCTTCTTCTTGCCTACCCTATTTTTTACCTTACAACCTACCAGGATTTCTTCAAATTCAGATTCAAGTACATAGTACATATATAGATCTAGATAACCCAAGTATCAGAAATGGATTTGGATTTGCATACTCTGTTAACTATTAATTCATAAATGATCTTTCTGGGTAATTATCAGTCAATCTAGCAGCTATCAGATCTGAAAGTATCAGAAATGGATTTGGATTTACAAACTCTGCAAACAGCATCTTAAACACACCTTTGCCTAAATGTTATTATCTCTAAATGTCCAAGCAAGCTACAATTCTTTATGCAATTTTTTTAGCTCCAACTTGACGGAGGGAGCGTTAAAAAACAAAGTCATCAACCAGCTCCAGCTCTCTGAACAGACACAGAGCAGCAGAAGGTTAAAGTCCTGGAGCTTTTGGGGATTTCAGCCTTGTTCCTCCTGCTCCCCACCGCCGGTTCACCGTTCGTCCTTGACATTTGAGGGTTTCTCCTGCTGCTTTTGCAATAATATTTGGCTCACGTTAGCATCTCCGCTACGTCCACAGCTCCCAAACACTCAGCATGTGTCACGATCACTGGTCCAGGCAACTGAGAACCCAAAAGCACGACAAGGCAAGACGGAAAGTAGTGGGAAAAAAACTGTTTACTCAGTCCAAAAACAAGCAGGAATCCAAAATCCGAGAAGGCAAACGTGGGGTCAATACAGGTTATTATAACGAGAAAATGCGGGAAAGCTTGGAACGGAAAAACACAAGACAATCTAGCCGAGAACCAGTGGAAATGGAGTCCTATTGCTGTCATAACTTCTACCATTATCATTAGTATTAATATCATTGCCATTTTTCATCCAGTCTGTGTGTTACTGTAGGCTGCCTCTCTCTCTTGCCCTCTCTCTCTCTCTCACCCCCCACCCTGAGCCATGGTTCTGCTCCAGGTTTCTGCCTGTTGAAAGGAAGTTTTTCCTTGCCTGTGTCGCCTAGTGCTTGTTGGGTTTCTGTAATTAACTTCAGAGTAGGTCTGACCTGCTCTGTTTGGAAAGCTGTGAGACAACTGTTGTTGAGATGTGGAGCTATAGAAATAAAATTGAATTGAATTGAATTGAATAGAAATACTGAAGACCCGTTAATGAGCTAATGGACAGCAGGTGAGGAGGTGGGCGGAGTGATTGCATGACTGGGAATGGCCGGATCTGAAATGATAGGAAAATTAAGGATGAAAACAAACAACATCAGTTCTAGAGTAACTATGTTACAGCATTTCTTATATCTCCTCATCGTGATGCATCCCAGTCACTGTTACGCATTCATCTATGAGGGATGCTAATGTTTTGACTCATTGGTTTCTGCTATGAGGCCACAAATGGAATTATGAATGAGTGCAACCAATAAAATCTCTAAGATTGTGTTTTCGCGTGTGAAACATCTATTACTGATTGATAATGAATATGGAGTAATTATTAGACATCGTTACATAATCCCCTTACAGACTAAACAGGAAAAAAACGAGGCAGGCCCAGAGATTGTAGCTCACTTTTTGAAGTCAGTGATGGACTATTTTTGGACATTTGAAGGCATTTCATTAATGGCTCAAAACGACAACTCAGTCATGAGAAGCGGTGTCTTTTGCAAATGGCTCGGTTGAGCCAACAGAACATAAATAGGGGCTGGCATCATAGATGTATTTATTAGAGCTGGGCTCATGGTTTATGACATATACTCACCACACTGAATCGCTCCTTAAATCAACCTAAGAGCCATGTCGTTTGTGACAGAGCCTCCTTTTTTTTTCAAATTATTTTTATTGAAACAATTGATAAGATAATACCAATAAGGAATACACTTCACTTTTTTTTTTTTGATAAACATATACTTGTGCAGGTACAACTTCTGATATATATAAATACAAGTATAAATGTTGAAGTAGTCACACCTACTACATATACAAAAAACAAAACAAAATAAGAATAATAAAAGAAGAGAACAACACACCCCATTCCCACTCTGTCTCAGCCCAACACATTCAGCAGAAAAATAAGATTAATGATAATAATACTAATAAAAGTAAATTAAAAAAACATCAGTAAAGTACAGCAACGGGCACACATATTTAGTTAGGCAGGAGCCCCAAATCTGAAAAATAAGAAAGAAAACACTGCCATTTTTGGAAAAAATTGTCTGTACATCCTTTCATTGTATATCTGATTTTTTCAAGTTTAAGTAAGAACACCAGGTCCTTCATCCACTGGGCGATGGAGGGATATCTAGCAGACTTCCAGTGTAATAATATTGAACGTCTTGCAATTAAGGATGTAGAGGCTATAATATCTTTATAACTACTAAGGAATCAGAAATCCCAAATATATTCAGAAGAACCTTAATGGCACCTTTCTGCACATGGACTGTAATTGGAACAATACATCTCGTCCTATCAGTTTCTATCTGGAGTTTTTTTAAAAGAGAGAGACACTACCGGAGAGACCTTTTACCTTTTACTCCAGTTGTGACCACTGAGAGGACCTGTAGAGAGATCCAGTAGCTCAGAAATTAAAATGCGACGCATGCTGTTTCTTGTAAAGTGTCATATTTCAGCGAGAGCTGACAATGCTGGTGCTTCACCGCTCACATAAAAAGGATCCATTTTCCTCTGCCTAGCGAGAGCGATTTTGAGTGCTCTATCTCTTATCTCTGCTGTACTCGTTCTGGGCCCTTGCGGTAACATATTGGGCATTGTCCCCGGTTTAAGAGATACTAATGAATGCGATTGCTCCGTGATCCTCCACTTCTATTTGGACCCGGTGCGTGTCTAGTCCCAGTTGACTTTAAGTCTCATAATCATAATTTCCAGCCTGACACATCTCTAATGAAACTGAATGACAACTGGGATAGGTTTTTTTGTGGTGTTATTCTTTCTAATAGCTATTTCGGGACATAAAGGAGGTTACAGTGACTCGGATCGTTCAGTCAGGCTGACATGTGTCTATTGGTTTTTCTTTTCTTTCCTTTTCGATTCAGATTCAGAATGCAGATGATGTCTTGATTACTCCCCTGGAAAAATTTCGAAAGGAGCAAATCGGAGCAGCGAAGGTAAGAGACTGCCTACGTGTGCAATTAGCAGCTAAAGTATGAGAGTGTGTGTGATCCAACACCCTCGCATATTCCCCTCACACGCTTCCTCCCTCCAACAGTATGTAAATCATTAATTAAAAGCAAAAAACGTGACACTGCCGAAAGAAGAGGCCTTCTCATGATTAATGAGAGCAGCAGGGGGTAGAAAAATCACCTAAGTTTGCGAACCCGACAAATAACAATAATAAAACTTAAATTAGAATCGTCTACATCTCAATTTACCTTCAGCTAATTGAAGGTGGCGTGGTGAATTAAACAGCTCACCGTCCTGGGTGGTTCTTTTTCCTCTGTTTAATCTCAGTGTTTTGTCTTCTAAATTAATTGCATTTTGTTTTTGTGTAAAATGGAAATTACAAGCCTCAGGTTTAGAAAAGAGTGGTAATCAATAAGATGCTCCGTTTCGGTTTGATTTATATTCTGTGCAAAACAATTCCAACTTCAGCTTTACAATATGTTATTTCTTTAAAGGTACCTCTTTTACAAGACAGTGCATTTATCAGATTGCCGTAGCCCTCTTTCTTTAATGCAATCCTCTGTAACTTGCAGGATATGAGGGCCTGATATCAGATGGGTTTTTACAGCGTTGCTCTAAGGCTTCCTGCGTTTGCAGATGACATGTTGAGGCTGGAGAACAGTGTGGGTTTGTTGCTACGAGCGATGCTTTCATTCCTGGCCAAGGCGAAGGCACGATATGAAAGAGGAGCAGTTTGTTTGTGGTCACTCCCATGGTGAGATCACACGGAAAGCAGAGCTAGCTGGTGGAGATCCAGCCTCTCGCTCAGCTCTCACAGTCGCTAACTTTACTCCGAAAACGTGAATCATCGGCCGGCTTTACATAGCCTTCACCCCAACCTCAAAGCTTTTGATTTATTTCACATGACCTGACTAGGTGCTGGTAGAAATAATCATCTCATTGGTGTCTTCACAAGCTAGCCTCCAACATAATCGAGCTATTTTTCTTCTCTTCTCTCAGGTTTTAACGCCACTCGCCTTTTTCTGGTCAGACAAAATCAAAATAAAAGCTGTTGCTTCATGCTCCAACCATCACATGTACAGTGGGGGAAATAAGTATTTGACCCCTTGCTGATTTTGCAGGTTTGCCCACTAACAAAGAATGCTTATTTTTCCTCATCAGATGGTTATCAATTTTTATAAATTCATATGATGTGATTTTCTGGAATTTTCTTTGGGATTCTGTCTCTCACTGTTAGAATGTACATATGATTAAAGTTATAGATCGCTGCATTAATTTGTAAGTGGGCAAACCTGCAAAATCAGCAAGGGGTCAAATACTTATTTCCCCCACTGTAGGGGACAGATACTTTGACAGGAAATTTCCATAAACTGAGTTTTGTTCTTTTCTTTACATTTGCTGAAGGTAGTCGGTGTTGAACAAAAGAAAAAGCTTAATTGTTTTTGTTGTCAGACAAAATTCAGCATCCTTACTATATCGATACTATATAGATTGTTGCATTCTTTGTAAGTGGGCAAACCTGCAAAATCAGCAAGGGGTCAAATACTTATTTCCCCCACTGTATCTTCCATAATGAAAAGGCACATTTAGCTGTCCCCCCCCACTACATCAACATGCTCAGTGTTATTGCTCCGGCTATGTTTATAAAATGGTTTCTTAAAAGCCACATCCCCATCACTCCCACTACCTCTTACATCCTCCGACCACTTCCTCCTAATGGCTCTGTCATCCTCCATCTTCTGCTAAACATTAGCCCGACTGCACTGAGATAAAAGGCAGACATCACGAGTGGATGAGCAGCTCTGCACGGTTTCCGGGAATTTCGGAGAGATCTGTGGGCCGTCTGACCCCTTAAGTTAAGCGCCTCACAAAGTCTGAGGACTTCAGATGGACAAACTGGGAGTTCTCACCTTATATGGGCATGCTGGGAGCTATCCCACTGGGGTTATTGACCAGTGGGGGGAATAAGTATTTGACCCCTTGCTGATTTTGCAGGTTTGCCCACTTACAAAGAATGCAACGATCTATAACTTTAATCATATGTACATTCTAACAGTGAAAGACAGAATCCCAAAGAAAATTCCAGAAAATCACATCATATGAATTTATAAAAATTGATAACTATCTGATGAGGAAAAATAAGCATTCTTTGTAAGTGGGCAAACCTGCAAAATCAGCAAGGGGTCAAA